CCGCAGCGGCCCACTCTCCAGCACCTCCCGGTACGTGATCGCCTCCTTCTTCTCCTTCACTTTCTGGTCAAAAGACTTCGAGACGAACGCCGTAAGTTCTTCCATCGCTGCCGATGCCAGTCAGCCCCGCGCTCAACCTCTCCCAGCCGAGCCCCGCTCTTTTTTTCCTTCTTCTTTTTTTATTGCTCCAGCCCCCCCAATAATAACACATCAATGGGGCAGAGGGTGGGGGAGGAGAGAGTGGGGGAGGAAGAAGAAAAAGAAGAGAAGAAAGAAGAAGGAGCAGGAGAAGTAGAAGGAGAAAAAGAAGTAAGAAGAGGAGGAGGAGGAGGAAGAAGAGGAAGAGGGAAGGGGCGGGGGCCGCCGGAGGGAAATGGGAACTGATGCTTCCCTGCCGGAGCGCGCTTGTTCAATGTTAAGATCTTTGACAATTCTTCCTGCGGAGAGTTCAGATCTGATAGCAACGCAGCGCTTGAAGTCTCACTATTTATACTTCGCAAAGGCGGCCCCTTGTTCTGAGTAAATTACCTCCCCTTCGCAACTCGCAGGGAGCCCCTTCCCGGGAAGCACCCGCGCCACTACCTGGGGGTGGGGGAGTGGGGTTGGGAGGTGGGGGGAGAGGGAGAGAAAGAGGAGAGGGGGAGAGGGAGAGAGGGGAGAGGAAGAGAAAAAGAGAAAAAAGAGAGAGAGGGAGAGAGAGAAAGAAAGGAAAGCGAGATGGAGATTGATTAAAGCTGGAGTCGAAGCTGGCTGGGGCTAGAGTGGGAGGACAGCGAAGGGGGACCGAAGGGGGTGGGAAGAAGAGACAAGTCCCAGGCCGTCCGGGTTTTCGGATACCTCGGCCGCCTGAGCTCTTGGCCATTAATCCAGGATTGACAAGAATCCCTAATTAATTTAATTAGGCGTGGATTTTGCGTTGGTGTCACGACTTAGTTAAACACTGGGGAGCTGGACTTATTCAGTCGGGGCGTGGCCAAGAGGAAACTGACAAGTGCGCGGCTCCTGGAGTCAGTCTGGTATCTGGACTTGGCATCCGACCCTATATCCTCGCTCCGCGTCAGGGTGCCGCGCAACTGCTCGGCCCCGCATTGCTGCCCGGCGCCCCTGCCCTGCATCAGGCGCCCCGCACCCCAGTTCCCTATCCTGACCCGGTATCCCATTCCTCCATCCCCGGTCCCCCAATCCCTACTCGAAACCTTGTATTCTGGCATCTTGGCTTCAGAACCTTGCCCAAAGTCAGGGTCTTCGACGGCTTCTCAGGCCCGCGCAGCTCCTTTCAGGTGCTTCCCGGCCCGCAGCCAGAGCTGAGCCTGGGTCGTCACCAAGCTCCCCACCCCAGGGAGTTTGTGATTCACCCGGCTATTCGCGTCGTGGAGACCAAGCTGACTCCTCTACGGACAAACCCGTTTCGAAGCCGCCGGTCGATTTAACACATTTCCCGAGCAGCTGTTCGCTGACAGATTCCATTTTAAAGTATTTCCTTAGAGCCTGCTTGGTCAAGGACAGTTTAACTTCGTTCCCTCTTTGAGGTCTCAGGACCCCTACCCCTTCTCCCTTACTCTCTGCACCCAGACCCCTCCCACAAAGAACTAGGGAAACTCTTCTTTAGCATCATGGGAAACATTCTAGTTGATTTCCTAATTTTGAAAAGCAAGTGATTAAACCTCTTTGAGTTTGCAAAAAAAAATCGACGTTAAGCTTGTTCCCCATATAATTTTATTTATCGTGGAGTATTCAAAAAGAAATGGTAGCCATGAGAAAGGTTTTTTTCTCCCTCTCTCTTTAAGCTACGATTTAGAATTATATCCCTGGACTATTTTCATCAAAACAGTTTGTAATATGGAAAGACACACCTATATTCTTGAGCCACTTGTCCATATTGTGTAAGGCTTGCTGTGAGAAATGTGGCCATATATGTATCCTTCACATAAGGATATTTGTATATGGAAAGTTTACCTGATGGTGTACATAAATTTGCCTCTTCAAGTGTGGCATTTTTGAGTAGTCTGAATATTAATACAGGCTTTCTGATGTTAAAAGTAACTTGCTCATATTTTTGGATCTCATACTGTTAGTAAAACTAAAAGCAATTATAGAACTGTGATTTCTGTCTTCCACCCATTGGTTAAAGCATTAAAACAAAGTTAACAGATACTTTGAAAGGTTCCATCAAAGCAAACTGAAACATTTATAATAAGAGAGTATATTATAACCTAATATACTAGTGTTCCTAGAATATATGTAAATAGAGGCTACTTATAGCTTTCATACTACACTACTCAGATTAAAATGTTCACAGCTGATGAATTTAAGAAAGATGGAAATCATACTTTTTAGAATTGTTACTTTGCCTTTTTTCTCTTGAATTCTGAAGTTTTCCCTTTTCTTTTTAAAACATTTCATTTATTGATACTTTTTGGAGAAATAATTAAGATCTTTAGGTTTCCAACAGCAATAGCTGTTATGTATTAAATTATGAGTACTTGCTTTTATTTTATTACACTACAAAAGAGACTCAAATATACTATCCAAAGTTATATGAATTTAGAAACATGATTTTAGAGTTAGTACTAGGTTACTATTTGTGACCACTTTAATTCTTGTATTATCAGGGGGGAATAACCATAAAACTTTAATCCTGTATGAAAATCTGTTTTTAAGGTTATTTAGCAGAGTGATAAATAATGGTATCAGCTGAATGCATGGAGTACTCAAGTAACACTCAAACTGAGGTGTTCAATATGTATTCACAAACAGCTCCAAAACAGCCACTATTAAAAGTCTGTTAAGGGGTCAGGAGACTCACTACTATTTTGCCCTTTCAAGCACATGACTTTGAAGTCTGAATTCAAATTCCATCTTCTGAACTTAAGAGAAAGACGACCAATTTAAAGCTAATCAGGGAAGGCTCTGATACAATAGTGTATAATTCATACCAAATAGATTTTCCCATAGATTTTGCTGGCATGTTGCTCTTTGTATGTTTATGAATAGTAGTGTTCATATCAGATGGAGCTATGAGAGATCTGCAGTGTCTAACCATGGATTCCTACTGGCCTAAGGGAAATTTAAACACACACACACACCCACCAAACCCAGGCTTTGAAATCATATACTAATAAATGCTTACCAAGTTCTAATGATGTTGTTTCATTAAATTGCAAATATATTCCAGAGACAGGACATTTCAAAATGCAGTTTTAGTAAAAAACATTGAGAGTAAAGTTCAGTTGACAGCCTGCAGACAGGTATACAGGTTCCAATAAAATTCAGGACCTCAAAGGTTCCTCCCCATTCCAGCTGTTGAATTATTTAAAATAAACATGTAGTATTGTAGTTAAGCTTTAAAACGGTCTCTCAAAACGGGTTAGTTAACGAACAGTCATTTATGAGAAATTTATTTGTGGAGGTGATTTTCACCATCTCACATGTCTGTGCAAAACTGTACCTTAGGTATATGGCAGTTGTGAACGAGTTGATTCTCACAGTCGACCCAAACCAAGGCCAACAATTTACCTCCTTATAATTGCTTACTTACAATAAATAAGGAAAACATGATCTTCATACAAGGACAGATAGTCTTACGAGTTACATAAAATGCTGAATTGCTTTGATTTCTATAGGTTTAAACAACAACAAAAAGCCTATACATTTAATTTCTTTTGCAGAAGAAACCTCCTCTCCCTGCCTCGGGCAGTCTTCTCTCATTCCTTTACCAACCAATTACTATAACGTGAGAAACAAATATGCACCCAACCTGTGCCTTCACCTTCAGGGCAGAAGAAACCCCGACTTTTAATGCATTTTTATAAATAAATCATTACAATGTAATCACACGCGACTCTGGCGCTATACAGATACACTCCCATGATTTATTATTGTTGGACCAGTTTCCTCCCCTCCCAGCATGAAACAACTAATTTTGTTACGTGTGGGTGTCGTAAACATAACTTCCTAAGATGCATATTTGTTTACTTATTATCTGTGATGATAAGGACGATTACCAAGGCAACACTCTTCAGTTCCCACCTTTATTGCTTTTTGGTAACAAGAAAATAAAATAATCAAGCACGCAAAACCAACACCAAAGAAAAAATTGGCGGCGTGACAATCTACTCCCTCGGCACTCCTAACGCCTGGCCGTCTCCATCGATGCACTCGAAAACTCGGCTGACGCTGCCTGGCGGTGGAACCAGGAAGGCGGTGAGATTAAACTGAAGCAAGTTCGGAGGACGCCGGCGGCGCCCAGATTTGAAGAAACGTTTCAGCGTCTGCGGCGCTTCCAAGTCTACGAGCG